AGGTTGCTGTGAGCTGTAATGCCATGGCACTCTACCCAGGGGGACAGCTTGAGGCTCCATCTCAAAAAAAAAAAAAAAAGATTACTTGATCACTTAAAAACATTTTCCAAACCAGCCCACAGACTGGTTCTCCCAATAAAACTTTATTTAGAGACAGGGAAGTGGAATTCCAGGTAATTTTCATGGATTATACAAAAGGAGGCCCCAGGCCACATTCCAAGGGCCAGGCTGCAGTTGCCACCCTGGTCTGTGTGGTGAGGCTGCTAACAGGTTCCTGAGAGCCAGGGAGAGGTCAGCTGAGGATTTTCTTTTTTTTTTTTTTTTGAGACAGAGCCTCCAGCTGTCCCCCTGGGTAGAGTGCCGTGGCATTACAGCTCACAGCAACCTCCAACTCCTGGGCTCAAGCGAGTCTCCTGCCTCCGCCTTCCAAGTAGCTGGGACCACAGGCGCCCGCCACAATGCCCGGCTATTTTTTGGTTGCAGCTGTCATTGTTGTTTTGGCGGGTCCGGGCTGGGGATTCGAACCTGCCACCTTAGGTGTACGTGGCTGGCGCCTTAGCCGGTTGAGCTATAGGCGCCGAGCCAGCTGAGGATTTTCAATACCTCCTTTGGGCTTCAGTGGGGTTTCAGAGCTCAGGTCTGAAGAGGGTGACGGTTTTTGTGAAAAAGCCAAGCAGCAGTTTGTGTGATGGACAGCAAGGGCCTGAAACAGGGCATTGTTAACAAGGATGCAAAAAAAAGGCCTGCTCTGAGATGTGGAGTCTGGAATGCAAATGAGGGGAACGCGGTGATGGATATGCAGGGTGGGGAGTGAAGGCATCACATCCCAGTTGTGGTTTATAAAATATTCAGATGCCTCAACTCACTGGCCAGCAAGGAACCTGGGTGTATCTTCATGCACGTGTAGGCCTAGGGCCAATGAGATGTCTTCCTATAAGTAAGAGTAATGTTAGTAACTAGCGTCTAACTCAGTCTTAAGATCACCCCCCTGGTTGTCGTTCAGTAGAATAGTTTTGTTTGCTGTTGAATGGAGCGCCTCATTCCAGCTGTTATTCTATAATACCCCAGTGCTCTGCGAGAATTACTTAGCCATACTGACATTTTGTCCTACCTCGTCACACCACAAGAAGGAAGTGAGTAATCTCTTTCAAAGTATGTAATTTCAGACCATAAACTAGGCTTCCTGTAAGAGGAGAAATTCAAGTGGTAGAATCTAAGGCGTTGATTAGAGTGGACCTCCCTCTTTCTTTGTTTATTCATAAATCTGTTCCCCCCCAAATGTCAGCTGCTTTTGCCTTCTCAGCAAACAGGGAATTTAAAACAGAAAACTTGTAATCCCAATTGTTGGTAAATGTTATATTATCATAAAATTACTTAAATCATCAATGCAGGATTTCTGCCGTGTGAATATTAATGAAAGCTGGGTTAATTTTTGTTATGATTTAGCATACTCCTTGGGGACAAGAAGGACCAAGTTAAATAAGAAAATGTGTGTACGAACAAAAACAAAAACTACAGGCTAATATGTCTGATGAACATAGATGCAAAAATCTTTTACGAAATTCAACAGCACATAAAAAGATTATTCATCACCATTAAATGGTATTCATCCCATGTATGTAAGGATGGTTCAACAAACATAAATCAATCAATGTGGTACATCGAATGGTAGAAAATGGCAAGGAGGGGCACCTGTGGCTCAGTGAGTAGGGCGCCGGCCCCATATACCGAGGGTGGCAGGTTCAAACCCAGCCCTTGCCAAACTGCAACAAAAAATAGCTGGGTTTTGTGGCAGGCACCTGTGGTCCTGGCTACTCAGGAAACTGAGGCAAGAGAAATTGCCTAAGCCCAAGAGCTAAAGGTTGCTGTGAGCTGTGAACCACAGCACTCTACCGAGGGTGACAAAGTGAGACTGTCTCTAAAAAAGAAAGAAAATGGCAAAACTCGTATGATCATTTTAATTGATGCTTAAAAGTGTTCGTTAAAATTCAGCATCCTTTCATGTTAAGAATTCTCCCAATCCTGGGTATAAAGAGAACTTAACACAATAAAAAAGTATATATGACAGACTGAGAGTGAATATCATACTGAATGGGGAGAGATGGAAAGCCTTTCCTCTAAAATCCAGAACAAGACAAGGATGTCCACTCTCACCACGGTCATTCAACATGACACAGGAAGTTCTAGCTAGAGCAATCAGACAAGAAAAGGAAATGGAGAGCTTCTAAATATTAGAAAGGAAGAACTCAAATTATTCTTGCCCCAAGATCATATGATCTTATATCTCGAGAAACTTAAAGACCCCACCAAAATTTAAAAAAAAAAAAAAAACCCTATTAGAACTGATGAACAAACTTAGTAAAAGTGCAGGACAGAAAACCAACATACGAAAATCAGTTGCATTTCTACATTCCAACAGTGAACAATCTGAAAAAGAAGCCACGAAAGTAAATCTCAGGTACAGTAGCCCCAAATAAAATCAAATACCTTGGAATGAACTTAACCAAAGAAGCGAAAGTTCTCTTTGATGAACTTTATGAAACACTGATGAAAGAAATTGAAGAGGACACAGAAGAATGGAAAATCATTCCATGTTCATCGATTTAAAGAGTTGATGTTGTTAAAATGTACACACTACCCAAAGCAATGTACAGATTTAATGCAATCTCATCAAAATATCAACAACATTCTTTTTTTTTTTTTTTTTTGCGGTTTTTGACTGGGGCCAGGCTTGAACTCACCACCCCCAGTATATGGGGCCGGTGCGCTACTCCTTGAGCCATAGGTGCCACCCCAACATTCTTTATAGAAATAGAAAAAATAACACTAAAATTTATATGGGACCACAAAAGATCCAGAATAGCCAAAGCCATCCTAAGCAAAAAGAACAAATGTAGAAGAATTACATTACCTGATTTTAAATCATACTACACAGCTGTACTAACCAAACAGCATGGTCTAGCATGAAAACAGACATATGCCAGTGGAATGGAACAGAGAACCCAGAAATAAATCCGCACATCTATAGCTTGATCTTCAGCAAAGGTACCAAGAACATACACTGGGGAAAGGGTAGTCTCTTGATAAATGGTGCTGGTAAACTGTATATCTGTATGCAGAAGAAGTAAACTAGACCCTGATCTCTTGACTCGTAAAAATCAGATCAAAACTACACTGAGATACCATCTCACCCCAGTTAAAATGGCTTTTCTATAAAAGCCAAATGCTGGGGAGGATGTGGAGAAGGGGGAACTCTTGTGCACTGTTGGTGGGGAAGTAAATTAATGTGATCATTGATGTTGAATGATCATTGATGTTGCCATCTATGAATGGCATCTTGCGTTTTATCTCCTGTGTCATTCCTTGGGGGAGTTGATCTACACAGACATTTGCACCAGAATGTTCACTGCAGCCCAGTTCATAATGGTGAAGTCACGGAAGCAGCCTAAGTTCCCATCAACCCATGCATGGATTAACAAACTGTGGTATATGTATGCCGTGGAATACTATGCAGCCATGAAAAAGATGGAGACTTCACATCTTTTATGTTTACCTGGATGGAGCTGGAACATATTCTTCTTAGTAAAGTATGTCAAGAATGGAAGAAAAAGTATCCAATGTACTCAATATTGTTATGAAACAAATATATAATCACCTATACTTTCATATGAATGATAAAACACAACTATAGTCCAGAAAGGAGGGAAGAGGAGAGGAAAGGTGAACACAAGCCTATCTGATCCTTCCTCATTCCATGCCCTGCCTTCCTACCCTGACTCATTCAGATCAGCTCACAATGTGGGGTCATGAGTGACCAGGTGGGCTTAAGTCAGTGGACATCAGCCACTTTTTTCCTGTATAAGCAAAAGAGGTTCATGGGAGCAGGAAGCACTTCTGAGTTGTGCTCCTATGTCATTCTCAAATTGGTGTCCTTTAATTGGCCGTGATGCTGGAGTCTGGCTCACTGTCATCTCTGTCCTGCGTTACTACAGACGCCTCTGAGCTGGACGCTCAGCCTCTAGCCTTGCCTCTCACCATGCCCATTCTTCACCCGGAGCCAGATGTTTTGATTTCCACTCCTCCGCTTAAAACCTCCATGATGTCTGATTGTTTTTAGGATAAAAAACAATTCTTCTAGAGCACTCATAGGGCCACAAGAGAACTGACTCTACCTGCCTCTCCAGACTCACCCCTCAAGCTGCCTCTCTCTCCAACCTGCCCTCGTTTCTCCAGGGAATGTGGCTTTTTCCTGCCTCTGAGCCCTCACACATGCTGTTCCCCCTCATCCCCGGGGCTCACCTCTGTGCTCCGTCCCTTCTTGTCGCCATGCAGTTACGATTCTCGGTGCCGGGTAAAAGCTCAGTTCATATCTCTCACCTGAGTAAATGAAAAGCATCTGTTCTGTTTAGAATTTTTTACAATTTGGGTCTCTTTCCACGTTTGATATCTGTTTTTGCCAATATTCCTAACCCTACTTCATCGGGCTTTTCAGGTGTTTTTATTTATTTTTATTTTTTTCTTCTTCTGAACTTGTCTCATCCCACTCTTGGGGTCCTCTCTTTTAAAGCAATTTTGGACTGATTTTCAGTCTCCTGTCGGTGATGGCCCACGGCACAAGCCTGGGTTCCTTTTGCCCACCTTTGCCAGTTGAATACGGCTGAAACCCCACAGCCGCCCCCCAACTGCAGATGAACCCTGTTGAAAGAGTATTGTGTGTGTTTCCCAGAGTCCTAAAAGAATAGAGTATTTCTCTCAGTTATTTGTTGCTGTGATCAGGAAGGTATAAAGGAGAAAGTGGTTTGGGGGTTGGGATGGGCCATGGTTTTGAAGAGAATAATAGGAAATAGCGTGGAGAGACCTCTAAGAAGAGAACTTAGGGATTAAAATCCTTCACGTTTGGGGGTGCAGCCTGCGACCTTCCTCCCGGGCAGTCACAGCTGCTGTGGGTGTTCCCCGATTCACCGCAGCTGTTCCTTGTTGCTTTTTCCTCGCCCAGAGGTCACGCTGAAGGTGCACGTCAGCGACGCCAGCACCCACCAGCCAGTGGCGGATGCGCTCATCGAGATCTTCACCAACCAGGTCGCCATCGCCTCCGGCACCTCGGGGACAGATGGCGTCGCCTTCATCAAGTTCCAGTATAAGTTGGGCAGTCAGCTGATCGTCACCGCCACGAAGCATGCCTACGTGCCCAACTCGGCGCCGTGGAAGCCCATCCGACTACCCGGTAAGGCCCTTCTCCATCTCCCCAACGCGGAGCGCACGGTGTGGGCGGCAATGGCGCAGCGGGACTGCGAAGCTCTGGGTGAAATGTGCGCGTGTGTTCTCTGTTTTCCCTGTTGGGGTCCCCTCAGGGGAAAAGCACGAACCTGGCTGGACAAGATCAAGGGTGTCCACAGAGGTGAGACATGATTAGAGACCATTTGCCCCCTTCTGCACCTTCCTGCTGTCCACCACTTCAGGGTGAGGACCGTGCCTGGCACAGGTCAGCTTGGGGGGACAGGGAGGTCAGCAGGCACGACCCTTTCTGTCCTCCCACTCTAGCCTCTCAGAGTTGAAGGGACATGCTGCTGGGGACAGCATTGGGCTTTAGAAGCCATCTGACCTGGGTTCCAACCACCAGTCTGTGATCAAGCCCCTGGTTTCAGTGCCAGTCTCTGTAAATTGGAACTAAGACCCTCTTGTGAGTTTTTCTGATTGAAGATTACTCAACACACATAGAGTAACATATAGCACAGAAACACAGTAGGTGCTCAATAAATGTGCATCACACAACACATGCCATGGGAGTGCTCAACTCCAGCTCACAGCACAAGGTCCTGGACACGTGGCCATCCCTGGCAGTGATCACTCTGTCTTATAAAGGCTCAGTGTTTACCTCAATTTACAGAACTTCCTGGAGTTCTGTTTACACTGATTAAATACCTACCACATACCAGGCACTGCTCTCAGCACTGAGAAGACAGATCAAAGACACAGATTTCACGCCTGAGAGTTTATAGTTTGGCTATGAAGTCAGCCCCAGAAGAGATTTCCATCTACGCGGTAAGTGCTCTGAGGCTTACATATAGATGTGCCAGTTTGGGGTGGGGAAGCGTGTGTGTGACCAGCCTAGGGGGGTGGAGGAGGCTTCCCAGGGGGAGTGAGACTGGAGCTGAGTTTTGAGGATAATTGAAGATGTTTATAATAACACACAGATTCGGGGACTCACACACTCAGTCAGGCACCTACATTTTAACAAGGGGCCTCCCTCCCACACACACCAGCGCCAGATACTTAGAGAGACAAATGTTCAAAGTTCAAAATCACAGCATAGGGAGCTATGGAAAGTGGATTTCTTACAGATATGGTGGAGGAGATGATTCGGCAAAGTTTTAGAGGAAAGAGAATAAACCTGAGAAATATCGAGCAGATCAAGTCCAGACAGGCTTGAAGATTGGAGGGGAGAGGTCAGGAAGAAGAGGAGGTAGGTGGGATGTGAGAGGAGCCTCTGGTGTCTGCCTGGCAGCAGAGCAGATGGTACCTGCAGGGGCAAGCCATGGAGCCAGGCAGAGGGGACAGGCCACACCACTTTTCACTAAAGTTGATTCCATTAACAAACTGGGTTGGAGCCATCCCCTCCCCATCTCTGGGTGTAAATCCCTCCCCCTGAGCTCTAGACTCAGACAAAGATGGATAAAAGTTGGCAAACAGGAGGAAAGGAACAGGTGTTGGAGGCATAGTTGATAACAAGCTTAGTTGAAGATATACAGTAGAACCTCTGTAAATTGGCTGCCCAAGGGACTGTAATAAACTGGTCAGCATGCAGAGGTGCTGAGGTTAAGGAACGTCCATTGAGTACTTGTGGCGCATGTCTGTTCTATGAAAATTAGGTCAACTTCAGGAGATGATCAGAACAGGTAAGGTGGTCCTTACATGTGACCTCCTGTTTTTCATACTGAGAAGTCACTGGGAATAAACACAGGGAATTTTCGGCAGCATCTGCCTCCCCAGGGAGACCAGCTGCCCAAGATCCAGTCGATTTTTATCATTGGCAGGAGTTATGGTCCATAAAATGGCCTCCGACTCTGAGTTAGCAACCACTGAACCCTCATCACAACAAGGGAAATACAGCCTCTTGTCACAGAGTTTTCATGAACTGATCAATATATACCTTTGTTTGATGTATGTTTCTGTTTACAGAAACAGAAACTTATTTACTGTGGTTGATTCATTAGCATCAAACTCACGGCCCACAGCACTGTAACTTCACGCCTGAGTGAAGCTTATGGAATACACACTATTTTCTCTGTAAGGTGCATCACAGCCTTCTTGCACTCAGGAGCACCAGCCAGAACATCAGTGTTATGCTTGGGGGCTGTGTTGTTTGCTTGTTGGTTTGTTTGTTTATTTGTATAAATTTAAGGGGCACTGGTACAGCATGGATATAGTGGCCAACAGTGAAGTCTGGGCTGTTAGTGCCGCCATCATCCATAAACATTGTACATATCAATTACTCATCCCTTACCCCCTTCCCATCCTCCCTCCCTCCCAAGTCTCCAGTGTCTTTTATTCCACTCTTTTGATCCATGTGTGCACATTATTTAGCTCCCAATTATAAAGGAAAGCATACCATGTTTACCTTTCTGTGCCTGAGCTGTTTCAGTTAAGATAATAGTCTCCAGTTCCACCATATAACAAAAAGACCAGATTTTATTCTTTTTTTATGGTGAATAGTACTCCATTGCATACCGATCCCACACTTTCTTTATCCGGTCATCCCTTGATAGGCATTTAGGTTGATTCTCTGTCCTTGCTATTGTGAATAGTGCTGTGACAAATACATGAGAACAGGTGTCTTTTTGATAAAAGGCTTTCTTTTCTTCTGGATAGACACCCAGTAGTGGGATGGCCAAATTGAATGGAAGTTCTGCATTTTTAGTTCTTTGAGAAATCTCCAGATTGTTTTCCATTTTACATAATGTTTTCCCCCAACAAAAACCTTGACCCTGAACAGAATGAGAGCTGAAACCCAAGACAAAGCATCTTCTTGGCTAACCAGACGTATGAGTCAGGGACCCCTTGGGGCCACTCTGTACCTGTGCATATAAGACACCAGGAACATTGGTTGGGGGGTCACAGGTAAATTCTAGCAGGTAGACACATTTGCAAATACAGCATCTGTGACTAACGATGATCCACTACACTTTAATTATATTCATTAGGCTTTGTTAACATGATCATTTGAGAAAAAAAATTTCCATAATTACATTTTCTTAAATGAGTCACACAATGGAAATGACATTTGATTGAAAGAGTTTTGGGTGAGGCATGAAGCTACCAGCATCCCAGCCTGCCCACTCACTCCCAGCTGGCCCCACACGCGTGGTACCATCAGCACTTTCTGAGCCTGTGTTTCTTATTTCTAAAATTAAATTAATAAGCCCCAATAATTTCTAAGCACCTTCCTGTGTCTTTGATTGTCTTACTCTGCTTATCTTTCCAATATCATAAAGCTGCTCCTCACCAGAATCTAACAGGAAACATGACCAACATCTAGTCTGGCCTGTTGTGAGAAGCAGAGTAAACTGTGGTTCTTATGCAAGTTTGTGGAGGTCAAGACTAACACTTTCTGTATGAGAAGAGAGCAGGGACCCTCTTCTAAAATATGTTGATGTTTTGAAACTAAAAAAAAAAATACATTCTTCATGACAGTTGTGCTTATGTATGTTTGCATGAGCATTCTCTTATGAGTTCTTGGGATGGACTTCCATCTTCATCTTTAGCATTGGTTCCTGGAGGATGTGTTGATAAAAGGTTTATGTTTGATGTCATACAGGATTTGTCCAAGTTAGAGCTTACCTATGGGACCTGCAGTGATTAACTCCAGAATATTTTATCACTCTCATCCCCAAAACCTCATACCCATTAGTACTGACTCACCATTTCCCAGCCCCTGGCAACTACCAGTCTACTCTCTGTCTCTCTGGATTTGCCTGTTCTGCATGTGTATCAGCGAGATCATACAGAACGTGGCCCCTTAGGTCTGGTGTCCTCACTTTACATGATGTTTTCAAGGTTCTCTCACGTTGTAGTGTGTGAAGGTGCAACATTCCTGCTTACAAATGGATAATAGTCCCTTGTATGGATACAACACACCTCCATTCCTCAGCTGATAGACATTTGTCTGGGTTTTTTTTGGTTTGGGAGCTATTATGGGTAATGCTGCAATGAACATTTGTGTAGTTGTGTGAATGTATGTTTTCGATTCTCTTGGGTTTATACCTAGGAGCAGAATTGCTGGGTCATAGGTTCACTCTGTGTTTAATATATTAGGAGCTGCCAGACCATTTTCCACACCACTGAGGTGCATTCTTATCTTTCTCCTGCTACTTGGCCACATTCTGCTTGTCATACAGCTATTTCTTACAAGTCTAGTCCCCTTCTAATGCATGACCCCTGAAGGCACAGTCTGCCTCCAGCCCTTATCTATCCACTTAAGATCTAACCCTGGGCCCAGTGGCAGCTAACTACATGGACTGGGTGGAGGGTGAGTGGAGAGAGAGGTCACGGCCAAGGCCAGCTCATCAGTCTGGTCCCCTATGGCTTTAGTAGGAGCCAGTACCAAAGGTGAGGTAATGGATATTCTTAGCATGGGATCTTTCTATTTTCCCATGAAAAGTCACTTCACCTCTATGAGCCCCACTTCCATGTCACAGAGGGGTTGCCAGGAGACTCCAGAGTTCAAACCTGACTGCTGGATACTAGGCAGATTACTTCCTCATTTATATAAACATATTTCCTTACCTGTAAAACAGGCATATTAACTTCATGGAGTAGCTTTGAAACTTAAAATAAATTAGCACAAAGCACTTAGAATGATGTCTGGCATGTTAGTAAGGGTTTGCTAAGATTAGCAATTATTATCATTTCATAATGTATTTATTTGCATTTCTCTTAAATGTATGTTCTACCCCGAAACTTGCAGGCTATGTGAAATTTTTAGTTGGAAGATCTAAAGTAAGAGTTTTAAAGGAGTGCAGTTTCTATCATGTTATTAGTTCTCAGAGTTGGGGGGAATACTCTTTTACTATGAGGCACACATCCTTCTAAACATATTTTAAAAATATCTCTTGAAATTGATATCTGACATTATATAGTTATATTAATAGCATGTACATTGTGGGTTTTGAGACTGCATATACTTGGGTGGGGAATGGGCTGTGAGGTGACAGGGTGCCCCACAGCCTGGGAAGCGTTCAAGGAGCGACCCCCAACCACTTCTCCTGGAACAACATTCTTTTCCCCTGCCAGAAGTCACAGAGCCCCTCCATACTTTCCCTAGTATCAGCAAGTACACAGCTTTTCCTCCTTAAAGTTAATCCTTACCCCCAGAGTTAAGATTGACCTTGTTAAAGATACTTTCTAAATAAAGCTGTTTCTGTGGTTTGGTGCAGGCTGGCTATAGACAGACCTCCCGATCCTATCCCATCTCTTGTCTCATGTGTGTTTTATAAATTTCCTAGAATGTCTCTTGTGTGTCTTTCTTTCTCATTTCCCACCATTTCCACTCAGGTTATCTCCCCCTTTTTGTGCTGGGTACTGTGAACAGGTTCAGTCACTCTGCTAGAAACTTCTAACAAATAAAATGACTATCATATGTTATATGAGACAAACAATATGTTATATGAGAAATTGCAGTACTTTTATGGTGTTTTGAAGGTATTTCACTAATGATACTAAAACTTGATATTAGTCACTGATTTGAAATCAGAGAATTCAAAGAAGGCAGAGTCTCCCCAAAATTAGAGTGGGCATTTAGACTGACATGTCATAATTCCCTCATGTCCATTTTTGTTCCTGCAGTATTTTCTTCACTGAGCCTTGGCCTGCTTCCAGAACGTTCAGCTACTCTAATGGTATATGAGGATATTGTCCAAATCGTATCAGGATTCCAAGGTGTGTTTAATATCTGTTTTCTTTTCCATTATTATTAATATTATTTTTTGATTAACAAATTATAATTGTATACACCGGGGGCACAGCATGATGTTTTTATGTGTGTATATAATGTGGAATGATTAATTAGCAATCATTATTAATTATTAGCAAATGTATTGCCTCTCTTAGCTATCTTTATGGTGAGACATTTGAAATTTATTCTCTTAGTTATTTTTTCGTATATTTAGCATTTAAAAAGGAAACCAACAGTTGCTTTTGGACCAACTTCTAAAATCTTACATGGGACCCCCCTTATTGGGGTGATGGCTGGGACATACCATCTATGACTCTCTGTGGGCTACAATCCTACTTCTTTGAGGATGAAGTGTGTGAGACAGAAGAAGGGGCTGCCCCATGTTGCCAACCATCATTTTCCCAACAGAGACACTGTTGATGGATTTTATCTAGGTGTGAGTCCAGGCACTTCCAGGCCCTCATTTACTAGTGGAAGGGGGGTCACTGTCAAAGGCTGATAAGCAAACAAGTGTGGCTTTTCCTCTTTCTTATCCCCTTATTTTTTTAATCCGCCTCCCGCATCGTGATGTCTATAAATGTAACCTCATCCCTCCGATTCCTGCTGCTCACAGAGAAGCTCACACAGAAGGTTCCAGGGATTTGCCCTTTGTGTGCTTGGTATGAGTGTTAGAACTGGGAATGCTTGGCTTGGTACCCGTAGCACAGCAGTTACGGCGCCAGCCACATACACCGAGGCTGGCCCATTAATAAAAAAAAATAGCTGGGTGTGGTGGCAGGCATCGGTGGTCCCAGCTACTTGGGGGGCTGAGGCAAGAGAATCACTTAAGCCCAAGAGTTGGAGGTTGCTGTGAGCTATGACGCCACAGCACTACACTCAGGGTGACATAATGAGACTCTGTCTCAAAAAAAAAAAAAAATTTAAAAAAAGAACTGGGAATGCTTCTATGAAATGTGTCTCTGTGCTGAGAACATGATTTTTATTCCATCTCTATTGTGGGTTGTTCCTGGCTTTTGAGCATTTCATCAGATTTCAGTTTTTATTTACTCTGTTCTGCATTTGAATACCGTTGTTATACCACCATTCTCCATGGCACCAAATCCGTGCACCCTTTGCTAATGAGGTGGATGTAGATCCTGGCTTCCTCCCGCTGGCTGCGAGGAGCCAAGAGTCTAGCGTGCGCCCACTGCTCCGGGAGGAGGTATTTGAAGAGAAAATACGTGGAAGCGTCTGGCAGCATTTCTGACTCAAGTTTGGGAGCGAAAACAGGAATAGAAGTGCAGATTTTGGTGTCATCTGCACAGTAAAAGCCTTCAGTTATCTGATTTTTCCCTCCGAGAGAGCAGAGCTGGGCCTGCCTCTTCAGTCTCCTTTCCCAGTAGACCTGCTCCCAGGACTCATGCCTGTTAGCCTCGGAGGCCCGTTTTTCTTTTATCAGCTTTGCGGTTGGCAGAGTCCCTTGCAGCCTTTAAGTTGCCCAGGTCTGAGAACATTTCTCTCCATCCTGCTCATATCTCCACTGCATTCAACAGACACAACTGCCGGCCCCTTCTCAAACCTCTCTTCCCTCATGGCCATGACAGCGAGCGTGTTTTTCTTCCTGTCTCTTGGTCACCTCTTGTTGGGGATGCTAATACCAGTCAGTGGCCCACACTGCTTTCTAGTCCTTTCAGTGATCTCATCTAGACCACTCCTGGCTTCCTGCAGATCTTATACACCCACCTCTATCGCCTCAGCCCAGACCCTCCCCCCAAAATGGAGGCTCCCACCAGTGGCTGGTTTGGCATCTCTACCTAGAGGTCTGGGAGGCGTCTCACTTTTGACACACACAGAGCTCTTGGTGGGTTTTGCCTTCTGTCTCTGTAAGTGGTATATAAACATCTACCTGAGTGGGTCAGGTTAAAACTCTTGGAATTACCATTGATGTTTCTTCTGTCCTTGAATCTTATGCTTTTTTTTTTAGAGACAGAGTCTTACTCTGTTGCCCTAGGTAGAATGAATGCAGTGGTGTCATAGCTCATAGTAACCTGAACCTCCTGGACTCAGGTGATCCTCTTGCCTCCCATTTACCTTGAACTACAGCTGTGCACCATAGTTTTTCTGTTTTAGGAGAGACAAGGTCTAACTTTTGCTCAGGCTGGTCTCGACCACCTGAGCTCAGGCGATCTACCCACCTTCACCTCCCAGAGTGCTAGGATTACAGGCCTGAGCCACCACACCCAGCCAAATCTCCTGCTATTGCTGAGGCTCTTCTCCCTGTCTGTGTTGCCACCTCACAGATCCTGGATCTGCCGTGTCTCCTCAGAGCACTGCCATGAGCTTTTCTTAACTGGCTGTCCCATTGACACTCTGCCAAACCCATCAAAAGATCTTCGAAATGTGAAAACAGTGGAGTCGCCTGGCTCCAGCTCTTCTAAGATTTCCCATTGTGCTTGGGATAAAACCCAACTTCTTCACTCACGGCTGGACATTCCCTCAGCCCTGGCCAGCAGTGGGTGCTGCAGTGATCAGGAAAGTGACCATTGGCAAGGCCAGGACCAAGTTGCCGAGATCATGCACACGGACTTCCTGTACCCTTCCCCTGCCCTCAGTGGCCCTTGGGCCCTGCATGCCAGTTGTCACCCTTTTCTCCTTCATGGCCACCTTTGACTTCCACTGTGCCCACATTTCCCTTTGTTGATATGTTAAAGGAAAAAATCGGAAACCTCTTCCCCCCTGTCCCTCTCTCCCTGGGAGGGGCACTGTCCTCTGCGTGGTGTCCATGATGAGGGCTCCAACTGCAGAGTCTCGAGCCTTGACCACACTTTATTCTGTTGTGGTGGCCCAGTGCCCTCCTTGCTGCCTGCTCTGCTCCCAGTCCTGACACCACCAGTGTCCTCTCATGGCTCAGAGGGGGTCCATGAAGGATCCCAGCATCGCGTTAGGTGCCCTGTGTGAGCAGTCACCTTCTGCCCACGGAGTGGCTGCCTACGACTTCATCTCCCCTTCTTAAACCCCTGTGAGTCTAACACAGTTGCAGTGAGCCTGGCCTTGCAGCCCAGGCCACTTGACGGTCACCTCCCTGTACCTGCCTGCACTGACATTCTGTCCCATGCCCATGCCCTGATTCAGGGCCTGGTGGCCTCTGCCAGACCACAGCTGTAGCCCCCTCCTCCCCCAGGAGCTCTTTCTTGGTCTCTGCATTAGGATCAGACTGGGCTTCAGAAAGGAAGGCTGGTCTCTCCTTCCCAGCACATTGGTGCTAGACTGCCAGGTAAGTCTTCTGAGGCAAAGATCCAGCTCTTTCTGTCCCTTGATGGCTCCCCTTGGCCTGCAGAATAAAACCCAGTCTCCTGACTAAGGCTCTCTGTGGTCTGGCTCCAAACTCCCTTCTGTCCACATGCTGCATCCTGGCCATGCTGGACCTCTGTCTGTTTCCCTCCCGGGATGTGCTGCTCCATCTTCCAGCTTGTCTTCAGACCTGCCCTGGACCAGAAGGCCAGCCTGCATGCACATGCCCCAGGGCCCCTCCCGAGAGTCTGTTGGCAGTGGCAGCCACACTCCCTGGCGGGGGGGCCTGTGCTCTGTGACCCGCCCATCCCTCCTGGCTGTGGTTGTCAGGTCTACAGGGGACCCCTGGCTCAAGTGTAACCAGTCCATGAGTAGCCAGGGGTCTGGTGGGACCTGGCTGGAAGAGAGGGGCAGACCCACCACTCTTATCTCCCTTCCTTTTCCTTGGATTGAGCAAAGAGCCCAGGAGAGGGAAGAATCACAGCCCGATCACAAGTGCAGGCTGGGTCTGGACCTGAGACATGGAGCAGAGAATAGGGAATGGTGGTCAGCAGAGAAAGATGCACAACAGCAGTCGCAAAGGAGCAGATGGGGGGTTAGTGGGGCTGTGCTCATGGCGCAGCATTGGCGTGAAACTCACACCCTCCTGCCACCTCATCCCAGAGCTGCTCTGAGCCCAGAACCACAGTTCCCGCTCCTGTGCCTTCCACACCCTCCACCTCTTGTCCCTGGATTCCCACGGGCGTCTCCCTGGGGCCCTCTGTCCTTAGCTGAACTGACAGTCTCTGCTGGGGCTCTGGCTCTCCTGTGATGCCTCCCTCGTCAGGTGTATTTGGTGGTGCACTTTACCTCCCCAACTAAATTGAAAAGCCAGAAGGGCAAGGCCTATGTCATCATCATCTCAGTGCCCGCAGGACCCGACGCTATGTCTGCCCTGTGGGAGCAGCTGGTGAGTAATTCAGTGGTGACTGAGTAAACAAATACAGAACCCACCTCCTCTGAGCGCTTCCTGTAGAAGCCCCTTACTCTGTGGTCAGTCATTTTCTTTATCCTTAACGCTAAGTACTCACAAGCATCTGCGTGCCTGGACGCTGAGTACTTGAATGCCTCTTTCTCTCTGTAAGGAGCAGGAAGTACGATCAGATTAAAAATAAACCCAAGGAGGTAAATCGTTCAGGTAGTTTTGGTTAACGGTTAATCTACTCAGCCCCTTTTATCAAGGCCTCCTACATATAACCAGAAACTAGCTGGGCACTGTTTCTCCCTTTTTATAATCTCCTTTCCACGCCAGCTTTGCAAAATTACGTTTTGTTAGTTTTTTTGTTTGTTTGTTTTGTTTTTGCAGTTTTTGGCCGGGGCTGCGTTTGAACCCACCACCTCCAGCATAGGGGGCCGGTGTCCTACTCCTCTGAGCCACAGGTGCCACCCTTTTTGTTAGTTTTTTAACTTCCCTTATATCGTGAGTTCAGTAATGTTGAGTTGTACTGGTTCCCTGTCTCAGGGGAGTTGAGGCAGGCCAGCAGTGAACACGGGTCATTTTATTTGTTTCAAGTTTTCCCACTAGTGGGAAGGAAAGCCACGTGTAGGACTTTGCCACCATGTCATTAACGCAGCTCTGTTCTGTCTACAAAACCAGGATGATTCCGAATTTATAAAGGATACGTTGCATTTTTATTCTCAGGCTGCTCCTGTTTAGTTGCATTCGTTCCTTTTT